GAAGTCGCGATGGATGGTCCAGAACAGGCCTAGAAGCGGTGACGGCGACCTTTCGAGAAGGACCGCGCGCTGTTTAAATGGGAACCACTGTCGGGAGCAGTCAGTGAAGTCCGGACAATGGAAGAAGTAGAGTCTAGTCGAATCTATTCCATTCGAAATTATTCTGTACGTCTGTTAGTCGTGTAAATTTGAGAAATAAATTGTTGAACTTTATCCACGCCGATTATAAATTACCAATCATCATAACAATATTTTGAACTAACCTTGGTAAGACCACAGGTAAGACATTCTTAGTTGTGTATAATTAGTTGCATAATTTAATGGTTGTCCCGTTGGATACCGCTCTCCCGGTCCCATTTACTAGTCACGCCACTGGAGTTATCATAATCTTACTTGCAATGATTTATCACCAGTGATGTGTTATATCTGTTATATACAGGAACATTTTTTAACTCTGAACTTACACCATAAAGTCTCTATGTTCTGAAAAAGATCAATGTTTTAGAAGTATGCACCCAATATTACATGGAACCTACGTGATAATTAAAAAAAAAAAGATTTCAACTTGTCAAAATATAATTTGAAAACTTGAGTAATATACACACAATGGTTTAAAAAAGAGAATAGAAAGTACAAATTTTAAGTTGGTATCGCAGCCACTCAAAAATGTCAATTGGCACAATTTATAATGTTATTGCAAAATTTAACACTCATGGATGCGTCGAATATAAACATCACCGGAGAAACAGATCAAATTATGTCCTAACTGAAGAAATATACAATTAAACATCTTATGTTATGCCGAAGAGAATTCAATGCCATTGTAGGTAAGCGAAGAAAAATGTTGCTGCCTCGGTAGGAATCGAACCCCACGCCCCCCGTTAACCATGACAAGCAACTACTTTGGAATTTCTCCGTCTTCATTTCGCAGAGTTTTAAAACAGTGTAAATACAAACGTTATAAATTCACAAATCAGCAACAACTAAGTCCAGAAGACAAAATTAAAAGAACGGTTTTTTGCGAAACATTTAATTTAAGAAACAATAATGAAAACATTTTACAAAACATCGTATTTACAGATGAAGCATTATTTTCATTAGACGGTGAAGTCCATTCCCAAAATTATCGGTTGTCCTGTTAATTTTCTTATATCCTTTTCCTTCCGTAGGGCTAATATGTGGGGACGAATTATAAACCAAACCTTAACTGGTCCATTTTTTATTGAAGTAAATTCAAAATTTAATAATTAATGATGTTTGGTTTCAAATGGATGGGGCTCCCCCACATTCAACTGCAATAGTAACACATTATTTACACGAAATTTTTAGAGCAATTGACCAAAAAAATAAGACGTACCTACAATTCGAATGCTTGCATGACGATAGTACTAATTTAATATTTGTACTTTAAAAGTTTTTTTTTATTGACACGTAGGTTTGATGTAATATTGGTTGCAGACTTCTAATAAGTAAAACACATCAATGTACATTGATGTGTTTTTTTTTCAGATTGACCATAAGGACTTTATGGTATATGTTCAGAGTTAAAAATATGTCCCTGTATAACATATCACTGTTTGTCACAGATTTGTTATCAGGCTGACAACTTGAAGAAAAAAACAAGTTCAAACTCTCTCAATCATTTTTGATCTCTCTGTATTTGTCACATTATTTAGGGTTAAAGGGATATAAACCGATTCACCATCCACCGTACAGGGTGCAGTGCAAAGACTTTTAAATTGGAAAAATGGTGTCCTCAGTTGACCACTCAAGTAAGGTTAGTTCAAAATTAAAAAAATCTACTATGAGTTTCTAATGGTAGCTTGATTTTACACAGACATAATAGATAGAAATCTGAACTAATTCTTGCTACAAGCTATAAAGACTATACAATTATCTTTCTGTTACTAATAAAAGTTTAACTATATAAAAAGCTTCTGTTAAAGAAATATTGCAAATTAAAAACCATAATATCCATCAAAGTAAGGTATTGTGCCGTCAAATTAAACCGAATGCTGCCTGGGGCGCGGTCGTGCTGCCACTCATTGAAGTGATTAGGATGGTTGTAATTTTTATTACTCTCCACTGTTTGGGCACAGCATATCTCTTATTTAAGTACTAACTGAATGGTACGCGGCATTCGGCCCAAATTTATGGCATCTATAAGCTGTGGTTAGGGGTTTATTGAGCGCTTGAGGCGTTCAGCTTATTGTGACAGCTACTATACAACATCGTTTCTAACGTTTTGCCCATGAGTGAAACGGAAAATCCAGAAACACGCCGGAAAGAAAAAGAAAGCGAATATTTTGCCGTAGGAACTATTCCTACACTCCAACAGTACCTAGTAAAATTTTACAACCGCTACTGTTAGGGATTGTCGGACAATGCAGGGGGATAATGACGTCAATAACAAGACACTATAAACAGTGTCCACTGTCATTCCACTGTTTACAGTGGGCTGGAAACATCCAGGGTTGCATTAAAAATTATTGTATTTGATGCATGAATAAATATAAGATTTCTATTTATTTAAATAATTATATATACCTAATACTACCTACATATAAAACGAAAAAAATGCGTAAATTTTCGAAATTATGGCTTCTTTCATGCTGTACGTAACTTTACAGAATTTTTTGGGGTAACTTTTAGAATTGGATTTTTATTGTACAGAACACTTTTTCCTGTATTGTAAGATAGTTAACTTCAGTAACTGTGCCGTTCGTTCTATTGGTGACTGATGATTTTCGGAAACTAAAGTTTTATGAACTGAAATTATTTATTCGCGAGTTCCCGGTTTTAATTTTTTTTCCCGAACACGTGTTTCTTCACTTTCTGATTCAGAGCTGCACAAAAATTTTGATGCTGCTGTTCGTTTCTACGCCAGGCAATATCCCAAAAGAAGAACTCCCTCAAATCAAGCGTTTAGAAAACTTGAAAAAAATTTACGAGAATTTGGGCAATTCAAAAAAAAAAAGTTAGAAATCGAACTGTAACAACGCCGGATAATGAAGCTGCTCTGATTGAAATTGTAGCAGAAAATCCCCACGTGCGTCAAAGACAGATTACAAGACAAACGGAGATTAGTTTGGGTTCGGTTTTCAACATCTTAAAGGCAAATCGATTTCATCCATACCATGTGACAATTGTCCAACATTTAACAGAACGCGATTTTGTCCGACTGTTAGTATTTTGCAAATTCGTGAGGGCTTAATTATGAGACAATCAAGATTTTTTATTTAACATTTTGTTTACGGATGAAGCCACATTTACCAATAACGGGTGTGTAAACAGACACAACTCACATTACTATGTCCAGCAAAATCGCCACTGGTATGAGGAAAAGCACTTCCAAGAAGTTTTCAAAGTCAATGCTTGCTGTGGAATTGTTGGTCCACATTTTTTTGATGGAAATTTAAACGGACATATCTTATCTAAATTTTTTAAAGAATATTTTACCTGAACTGTAGAGCTAGACATACGAAGAATAATTTAGTTTCAAAATGATGGCGTTCCCGCTCATTATCAGAGGGACGTTAGGAACTATTTACACAGAGCGTTTGGACCAAGACTTATTTCTAGAGAAGAAGAGTGCGCTTGGCCTGCACGGACCCCTGATCTAACGCCATTAGATTTTTTTTTTTTGGGAGAAGGTGAAAAATGACGTTTATAGTGTCCCAATCGACAATGAAAACCACTTACGTGAAAGGATAATAGCGTCATGCAGATCTATAACTCCCGACATGTTAGATAGAGTTTCTTGATTTGTGCGATTATGAATTAAAACAGCGGACAGTCGTTTTATGAATTTTATTAACAATAACAAGTGTGTTCTAGAATAAGAATAGAATATGGCCGTTAGGTCGACTAAGTGAATACAGATGAATATAGAGTGAATGTCGAGCGCTTGGCGAGTGAATAATGTTGACTGAATGAGTTATAATGAATGAATGAGTTCTGAATGATGAACGAATGCTACCTTGTGTTCCAAAGTATGGGTGGCTCTGGCTCCCACCCTTACGGGTGCAGAGGTTGAAACAAGTTCCCCGCCAGAGGCACAAACAGAGTTCGTAGAAATTTTGAACGTAGGATAGGCTCTGTGAAGATAGTGGAAGCAGGTATTTTGAATATTTATTATTAATTAGTTTTCGTTGTAATCTGATCCATTAATAAATTGAGTATTATTTTTTTCAATTTTGTCATTATTTGGCATTGACATCTTTGTCGTTTTTTTCCGTGATCGCTATGTAAAAAAAATAAATTTGACGAAGTCATCTCTGGGGTGTATAATGTTACCTAAGCAAAAATTGTACGGCGTGAACAGATAAAATGAACATTCTGTATATTATATTATCTACTTTTTAAATTTTATACAAATCCGTTCATAACTAACAGAGATATTGGTTACGAAAATCCTAAAAGAATCAAGTTGTTTATATCCGTCCGGTATCCTTCAAACGATGGGCCAAATGCGTCAGTACGGACCACAGGTACGGACTTTTTAGGAACTGAGCTCTTGCGCCTGAACACAGACTACCCCCTGCAGCACATTCTCTTTAATGATCTAAAAAACATGAATATTTAATACAAAAAACAAAACGAAGCAAATTTCACGCAATAGTTATTTCATTTTCTTTAATAATAATTATTACCTCAGTCTCAGAAGTTTGGATGTAGTGCAAAGGTAAAGTTTGTCTAGAATTATAAGAATTTTATGGACTCCCAAAGTTAATTCGTTTTACAGCCTTGTTGTCAATTTTATTGTACAGCTGAAGAGCGTGGCGAACAAAGGTACAGAAAACATCGGCTTTCTGCTGACAGGCTCTTTACCTGTACAATAGAATTGACGACAGGGTTGTAAAACGAATTAACGTTGGGAGTCCATAAAATTCTTATAATTCTGGACAAACTTTAATGCATTGCGGTTTAAAGTTATTGATCGATTGTTAGCGTAAAAATTTTTAGAAAAATGCTCACTACAAATTCTCCAGTGTGGTTTTTTAAACTTTTTTTTCTGTATTGTCAATTTGTAGTGCTTCTCCCCATTCTAAAATCTAAAAAATAAAATGATTTTGCATTAAATTTTTCTTCTTTTTTTTTCTTACTTAAAAATTAAATATACTTCAATGTTTGTAAACTCACCTTGCAAGCGATCGAGGAAAACAATGCAGTGCCTTCGCATTTCCTGTGTTCTTGCCACAAATAATACAATATCTACAACAATAATACATTATTTGTTTTATTTAAATTTGCAATAAACAGCTAACATTTTTTACCTTCTCGTCATGGCGTGCTTCCAAATAATTTTAGGTATGTACTCCTTGTTGGTATTCGCCACGTATTCGCACTCACACACTTTGCGCGTAAATTTTTGAAATTCAAAGTCGCGCAAAGTTATTGCCGTTATTGCTCATGTACCGAAGTGTGCGTGCGTCACACATATACGTCAGAGCACATATACGTCAGGAGTAGGGATATGTGTAATGGGGGATGGCGTCCGGCAGTTGTTTTCTGTCAATTTTCAAATGTGTTATACAGAAATTTTGCGACTGCAGAGCCATCTGCCTTGAGATCAAATGTGGCATAAGGATAGGTTTATGTATGTACGCCCAATATGATAACACGGGAGAGATATAGAAACGAAGACAGACTTATGGGTCTGTAGTGCATTGAAAGGGTATAGATAAACCGGCTCAAATTATAGTGGACCAAAAGGTATAAGGTTATATGGCCATCATAAAATCATCCCATTGTGTCCAAATTAAGTTGTTTACAATAGAAAAGGTTTTAGGGTCGTAAATAACGTGTCCACTGCAGCTCGACCGGCTGTTGTGGTTTCGTTCAGGGACGGCTTTCACTAATATGAAAATCCACCACTCCACTATTTCTTTACTACCTGCAGCCGCTGAGGGTTCCGAAATAACCACTCGCTTTGAAAGCCGGCCCTGTTAAATGTGAGCAAGAAATGTTTAGAAGACGATTTATTGCCAACCCGTAAGCTTAGTGCGAACCACACAAAGGGGGTATTTATTTGCGGTCAACTACTTTTATGATGGTCATATAACCTTATACCTTTTGGACAAGTATAATATTATGAATGCATACGTTGTATTATTTATTACTACAAAGTTTGCAGGCTTTGGCGTCACCTAAAAGCTATGGTTCCAAACTTTCGATGAACGTAAAAGTGTAAAATCGACAATGGTGAAAGGTAATAAAAATGCTGGTACTATCGGAATTTTTTAAGTAAGGGGATAGCATTGTCACAAATAATGTTTTAAGATAAAAAAACCTTTGCTAAGTTTCCAGATAATTTACTTTTATGCGTAGGTCATACATACAGCCTGTTATTGAAAGGTACGTACAAAACAAAATCGGCAATTGGTCTCGAAGTATGGGTGCTAAAAGTTAAAAAAAGTTCAGGTAAAAGTGTTCTCCTTTTAGAGATAAAAATTATTGAAATTTATGTCCAAATTCGTTGTACGCCTCTGATAAAAAGATCACCTTTCGTTTCTATATCAACATTTAGTCTCTACAAAAGTTTTATTGTTACAGTTGCTAGGATTTACTAAAATAAATTAATTTTACCTATTTATCCTTCAGTAGCGTCTAAAAAGGTTGGATAAGGGTTAATTTTCCCCTTATAATTTTGATAAGACAAAATAAGTTTTTCCGACTTCTTGAGACTTCGCGAAGAACTGTCCATTTTGTTGTATACTTGTCCAAAAGGTATAAGGTTATATGACCATCATAAAAGTAGTTGACCGCAAATAAATACCCCCTTTGTGTGGTTCGCACTAAGCTTACGGGTTGGCAATAAATCGTCTTCTAAACATTTCTTGCTCACATTTAACAGGGCCGGCTTTCAAAGCGAGTGGTTATTTCGGAACCCTCAGCGGCTGCAGGTAGTAAAGAAATAGTGGAGTGGTGGATTTTCATATTAGTGAAAGCCGTCCCTGAACGAAACCACAACAGCCGGTCGAGCTGCAGTGGACACGTTATTTACGACCCTAAAACCTTTTCTATTGTAAACAACTTAATTTGGACACAATGGGATGATTTTATGATGGCCATATAACCTTATACCTTTTGGTCCACTATACGTACCTTTCAATAACACCCTGTATATTCTAAAATAGCAGCTGTTAAGCAGTTTTTAAATGTAGATTCAATTTCATTCGCTCATCGAACACCAGAAGTGGTTTTGTGTAGGGAAAATAAAATACTTATCGTGTTAATTTATATCATATCTGACATTTAAATGCCGTGCTCCCAATTTGACAGGACCGAAGACTGAAAAGTTTGGGGTGAATGTAATCGCTCTAAAGAAATTGAAGGACTTCTATAATTATTAGTTATCTTTAAAGATAACAAACAGAAAACTCAACCAGTCACAATGGATATAGTGGATGTAGTAACAATAAATTAAATTTTTTGTTTTTTCAAAAGTATAAACGGAAAATTTGTCGAAAAGTGTGTTCTTTTAAAAGGCTAAAAATCAAGGATTATATAATAATTGAGGAACTTTCTAGTGATCAACTTTATCCCCCGGAAATATTTTCAGAATAATGAATAAGTGCTAGATTTGCGGCATATCTTCAAATGACGAAGAAAACGATTTTTAATTTTGTGTATTTTAAGCGAAATGTTATGAGTTTGAATTCGCGCTAGCTTTCCCAAATGGTCGGATTAATATGTTTTTCTTAGCAGAAATATCCTCAAAATTACGACTCCGTGCTTTAATTAATTTAATTATTTTTGCAATGTCTTCAAAAAAACGGAGACCATTTCACACGGCGCATCCACCATTTTTAAGTAAATGTTAAAGTTGCTGGAATTCCTCCGAGTTTGCGTAGATCGGTTAATTTTTTTAATGTGTATGACTATAGGTTATTTTGAACTGTAACCAGTGGCGGATTTACGTTTTGGGCGCTCGGGGGCACTACAATTCTGCCGCCCCTTTGACTCAACCTCAAAATATTTTAGGGGTTAAATTAAGAAACAAAAATTAAATTTATGTACTAAATTAATAAAATTCTATTTTAGGTCTTACAATATAAATCATTACAATTAAAACTAAAAACAAGCCATTAGTTCTAAAATGTCTTGCGTCTTGCTTTTTGGAAGGCGAATTGTTCAATGATATCATCGAAATCTAATGATAATAAAACTTCAGACTCGCACTCGATCGTCAACACAGCAAGTGAATTTAGTCTGTCTTCAGTCATTGTGGATCTCAGATAGTTCTTCACCCTTTTTAAAGTTGAAAAAGACCTCTCAGCGCTGCAATTACTGGTTGGCGTGCATACAAACATCCGGTATGCAATATCTACGTTTGGAAACACGGAATCAAGTTCATTTTTACGAAGAAATTTCATCAAATCAATAGGTGATATGTTACCAAGATTCTTCTCGGCGCAGTGTGCTTGAAAATGAAGCATTTCATCTTCCAACGAATCCTCTAAATCTAAACTAAAAAAACTTTGCAAAGATTTTGACTTCTCGCGTACACTCTTTGCATCTAAATGTCTAAGTTCTGTAATTACAGAAAATTTTTCGTTAATTTTTTTATAGCTGTCGTTTCTTTGTATTAATTTTGATTTCAAGCAATCCAAAATAACATTAAATGTTTTTATTCTGAAGCTATCTTGAGCTGTCATTTCAATCTCGTTGTTTTGGATTTCATCGAAATGCAGTTTACGTTTTTTTTTACGACTAGTTTCAGCTTCATACGTTTTCTGAATAGATATTTGAATGCTTTTTTCTTCGTAAAAATGAAATTGGTCTCGTGTATCATTTACCAACTTAATTAATCCTTGGTATAGATCTATAACTTCAATAATACTTGTATCGACACTTTGTACCTTTTTACTTACTGAATTAAATCGTGAAAGTAAAAAGTCCCACAAATTTTGCAAAAATGCAGTTTTCTGAATAGATAAACATTCCATTTGAGACCTGATTCCTTCAGCTTCGCTTCGTGTACTTGCTTTTTCAAACTCGTCTTGTTCTATTTTAAGTAAACAATTATAAATTTGTGGCCAAAATTTTGTTAGGCAGCGTACAGCATCACTTCGCGCCGACCATCTCGTAACGGAAAGAGATTTTACTCTGACATTTTGTGTGTCAGAAAATGAGTTTAAAATTTTCCATCGATGTGTGGAAGCAGAAAAAAAGTTGTATAAATTTTGAACCATTCGAAAATATTTCACTGCTTCTAAACAACATTCTGCTGCACAGTTGCCAACCAAGTTTAGCGAATGTCCTGAACAAGGAACATATTCAGCGTATGGGTTTACTTCCTTAATTCTTGCTTGTAGTCCTGTGTAAATGCCTGACATGTTTCTTGCGTTATCATAAGACTGACCTCTACAATCAGCTATGTCAATATCGTAAGCTGAAAACCTGGTAAAAACTGCAGTTGCGAGCTCTCGGCTTTGTGTCCCGGATTTTCGATGAAAGTTAAAAAACGTTCTACGGCAGAACCATCGTTTTTCACGTATCGTACGATAAATGTAAGTTGATCGACATGGGAAATATCTGGGGTGGAATCTACAATGATGGAATAATATTTTGCTTCCTTTGTTTCCTTGACAATTGCAGTTGAAACTTTTTTCGCCATTAATTGAATAAGCTCTTCATAAATAGTTTTTGACAGATAGCTTGTACTACCGCTACCTTTATTACCGAATCTATTTATATGATTTGCTAAAAATGGATCAAATTTTGCTAATAATTCCAGGAGCATCATAAAATTTCCATTGTGCGTGGATCCAAATTTTTCATCATGTCCTCTGAAAGAAAGTCCTCGTGACGCTAATGATTTTACACACGACACAACTCTTCGCAAAACATTTTTCCAATAATTAACTTCTTCGTCAATTGCAGCAGATAATTTCTGGTCAATCCGACCTTGGTTCCTTGATCGTGCTCTTAAAAGTCTTTCACATTCTTTATGTTTATTGGAATTTTCGTGATCAGTAACTCTTTCAAATGAATGTTTCCAATCATTAAACCCTTCAGCATTTGAAAAAGAGGTCGTGTTGCCAAAAAGTAAACAGGGAGCACAGAAAAGTGTTTGCTTAACTGGAGAATAAATAAGCCAAGCACGAGGTTTTTTCTCCTTATTAAGTAGAGTCCTGACAAACAAGGCAGGAGATAAATACCTTGTTGCTCCGTTACTATAAATGCGCTTAGTTTGGGAAAAATCGGCATTTTGATTTTGACTGTATCCATATTGAGCCACATAATTACGCAAGGTTTCATCAATAATCCAGTTAGCCAGTGGCGGCTCCTCGGGGTGGGCAGGGTGGGCAATGCCCACCCTATTTGATTCTTTACGATAGGAAGTAAAATATTGATTTTTTTCTTTTTTAAATTATTTTTTTTGTATACACAAATATTTATAATAATAAACATCATTTAAGCCAACGGATTTTCTTCATTACATCCCGCAGTTTCCGCAACTGAGAAATTGCAGTTGCAAAAAAGTGCGTCAGATCTCGGCGTTATACGGTTCATGTGAGGATGGGCTAGTCCACCCTGGTCCACCCTCTTGATTGTAAGCAACAACATACGTTCGGTTTTCTATGTACGTGACTGAGAGTAAAGAATTCGAAACGCACGTCTTTGCATATCCGTGTTTTCTTGCTTCAAGCGGGGCACGACGCCCTGCCGATGCCGTCTCAATGTATAACTCGTACGCTGCGGGAGCGGACTTCGGATATTCGATTCAAGATTCAATAATTAATTTCGATTTTTCTGCTCATTTTGTTTGTAAAAGTATGTAGGTAATTATTTTTATTACTCTATTGAAATGTGGGTAAAGTGGTAAGCAAAATAATGATTATGCGAAAATTCTTGAATATTTTTTTTAATAAAAAATAGCAACACCGACATTAATAAATAATTTTTCATATCAAATGAAAATTCGTAATAACCATATTCGTTATTATGACACGGTGTTAACTTTATAATGAATTATAAATTAAAAAATTCGATTATAATGAATGATGAGAATAAGTAATTGATTTATTATTGAAGTACGTATGTGACATAAATTTGTATGTTACTACATACGTATTTTTGTTTAATAAAGTAAATGATTGCTTAACTGTAGCAGAGTCAACAAAAGTTAAATATACTTTTAATTTATTATTTAATCCGGACGGTCCACACAGTTTTGTTCCGCGCTCGTGCTAGGACGGGCGAAGCCACCCTGGAAAATCGGAAGTATTCGGCATGGTTCGTCGCAGACACGACTCTTCAGAATTCAGTTAAATGAGAAACTGCATTGTGCATTTAATTGTTATATAGTCTACTTCATTCAAATTAACGGTTAGGCGGTACCAAAGTAATTGTAAGTGTATTTTTTTCTAAAATGGCAAATCCAACTGCAGGCTGTGCGAGTACTATTAGAGAGGTGGTAAATGAAGGTAAAGACGTTGTGTTTTTTTTAATTAAAAATAAATTCAGTAGCATGGAACTTGATGACAAACTATTCGTTCATAAATTAAGACAGTGTCCCGAAATGAAAAATTTAATCATTACAAACTCTCGTGGCAGCAACAGAGGCTTTAATAAAAATTGGTATAATAAATATTATTGGCTGACCGGTAGCGAAACGACAAACAAATTATACTGTTGGAATTGTTTGTTACTTAACGAAAAATTACGAACCCCTTGGAATTCCACAGGCTATAGCGACATAAGACATATTGGTACCGCTTTACAGAAACATGATCAATCTGAAGAGCACAAATTCGCGTCGTTAAAATTAAAATTACTAGGAAAACGAAGTCAAACTATACAAAATTCTCTTAATTCGGCTTATCGTGAAAATATTTTAAAGCAGAATGAGATAATTAAAGAAAATAGGGACATTATTAGACGTTTAATCGACATGATAATTTTCTTGGGTACACAGGAACAAGCATTACGGGGACATGACGAATCACAAAATTCTCTTAATCAAGGGAATTTCAAAGAGTTGGCAAATTTATTATCAAAATTTGATGATAAATTTAAAAAATTTTTGGATGAGTCTTCAGTATTTAGCGGTTTGTCTAAAACCATTCAAAATGATTTAATTGACAGTATCAACAAAATTATATCACAAATAATATCAGCAGAAATTAAACAATCACCTTGCTTCTCCTGGCAGGTCGATGAAACCACTGACATCCAGTGTTTATCGCAATTATCCGTAATTTTTAGATACGTAACAAACGGTAAAATTGTAGAACGTTTTATGGGATTTTTCAATGTAAGTGAAGGACGCAGGGCTAATGATTTATTTCAAATGTTGACAAATACATTTCAGGATTTTGATCTTGCAAATAAGTTAATAGGACAAACGTATGATGGAGCATCTGTTATGTCAGGGGAACTGAATGGTTTACAATCAAAAATAAAAAATGTTGCTTCTCAAGCACTTTTTATACATTGTTATGCCCACAGAATGAATTTAATTTTACAAGACTCTGCCAGTAAAATAAAGGAATGTCGAATTTTTTTTGCTAATGTGAACGGTTTGTCAGCTTTTTTTTCAAAATCTACTAAACGTACCAAAGTTTTGGACGAAGTGGGTACCGCACGAATACCTAGTGGTTCAGATACGCGATGGAATTACAAATCTCGCACAATTAATGTAATTATTAATGAAAGATCCGAATTGTTGGAAGTATTTGAATATATTTTAAATAGCGATGAGTTTTCTAGAGATCAGGAGTCTATCAGAGCGGCAGTTGGATTCAAAAACATGTTAGAAGATTTCACATTTTTATTTTTATTAAACACATTTTACATTATTTTTGAACAAACCGATGCCATTTTCAATATCTTCCAGTCTAAATTCTCGGATGTGAACTACTGCAAAAATAGAATACAAAATCTTTTGGCGACATTAAAAAACTTTAGAGAGGAAGATAACTATTTTCAAAAAATATATAATGATGTATGTAACGTTGTTGGAGGACCAATAAAAAAACGCAGGATAGACCACGATTCAACAACTTATTTTAGGAGACTATATAAGGAAATATTAGATTTAATTATGAATCAGATTGATATTAGATTTAAAGATTTAGAGTTTTTAGCTTTTTTGGACTTACTAGATAAAAGTAAATTTACTTTATTTAAAAAGAAGTTTCCTCACGATTTATTAGATTTGTTCTTAAAGACTTATCCAAAATTATTCATAAAGAATATATTACAAAATGAACTACAGGTCTGGTATTCCGATCCAGACATATTTGGTAATTCATCTAATTATTCAGACATTACAGAATTTGTTTACACAAATGAGTTACAAAGTGATGTTCCAGAAATTTATAAATTATTATGCGTTGCATTATCATTACCAGCTAGTTCTGCGTCGGTGGAAAGGAGCTTTTCTACTCTTAAGCGCATCAAAACATTCAGTAGAAACTCTATGGATCAGTTTCGATTAAGTAATTTGGCAACAATCGCTATTGAAAGGGGTTTAGTAAAATATTTGCAAGATAATTTTGAAACTTCGAAATTTTATGATAATGTTATAGACCATTTCGCCCTCAGTAAAAATAGACGAATTGATTTAATCTACAAGCAGTAGTTAAATTAAGTAACAATTCATTTTCCACCGTAATAAAGTTTGAAATAATTTAAGTATTATTTATTTGTTCTTATTTATAGAATTTATTTTATTTTTTGCATTTTAAAGTTGTTGGTATTTTGAGAATAATTTTTATTTTGCTTGTTGTTATATATTAATTTTATTATTATTTTGAGAATTTATTTTTTGTTTCACTTCTCATTTTTAATTTTGTTTTTATGTTTATTATTAGTTTTGTTAATTTTTGTTTTAACGAGTACGCTACATCAGATAATTTTCCAAATTCCTACTTTTTCTACGTGTATCTTTAGTAAAGGTTTGAAATTTAACGTTTTCTTTTCATATTATTTCAAAATCTTCACATGTTGGGATAAGTATTTGATGTACTGTGTACTTTGATAAACTCCTAACTCCCGTAACCCATTTATGTACAGAACCCTTTATTTTCCTTCCCTTTCCTCTCCTGGCAAGAGTTGCTCTGACCTTCTCGTTGGTTCTTGCTGAGCGATATATGTAATATTTACAAAAAATATTTTGTATATATATATTTAATATATTATATATATATATATATATATATAATATACATAAAATATTTATTATATTGACTGACATAGAGCACCAAAACAAAAATGCTCTCTCGCTCTCACAAAGATGTTTTAGATATATGTATTACAATACATACATACTTTTTTCTAATACATGTTATAACATACGGAACATGCATTGCCCACCCATCGAAAATCACCACGAGCCGCCACTGCAGTTAGCTGGATCGGTGTCAAGTAAATAGGCAGGATCAGAATCTTTCTGAGGATTATCTGTATCTACACTTGCGTTTTTGATTGTTTGCGCATCATGTTGAAAATCTTGTGAACTCAGGTCATCTTCAACGTGATCGTCGGGTAAATTTGTTGTCGCTGAAAAGACGAATTATACGAGTAATAAATTAGAACTGAAAACTGTAGGTAAATATCGAAAAAACGTCTAATACTTATTATTTAGAAATGTAATATAAATTGTATAGATTACCATTTTTGTCAACGTCATCAGCTACCGAAATTTGTTTTTCTTCAACTTCAGTCTCTTCTGTAAGTTCTGTATGGCAGAGTTTCTCTTTTTCAGTTTTATTAAAAAAAGTCTCAAGCTTAGGCACGTTTAACAAAACTTTATTCTGTTTTTCCTGCTTTTCATGTGCCTTTTTCTTGTATGCAGCACCACTTAATTTACGCCGTTTTTCACTCATGTTGCCAAACTTCTGATGACAATATGTAACAAGTTAACTGTTTTTGTACAACCCTAGTCTTCAAATTGACTATCACAGCACACAGTACCGCAAGAACCAGAAAGAAGAAAGAACGTGAACCGAGCAACTGAAAGCACAGATGATGCTCATGCTACAGATCACCCCAACCCCGTTATCGGAGAAAGAGAAAGTTACCACATCTGCACATTCCACACCTACACCATCGCTTGACAAAATTGTAATAAGTAGACTAGCTGAGTAATCTTGCTTAGGTGGTCAATTGTTCCGTTATATGAGATCTTTAAAAGTTAATTATAATTTTTACGGGATATTTCAATTTTAAAATTTTATCCGCTTGCCGCCCCCTGTAAGGTACCGCCCCGGGGCACATGCCCCTCGTGCCCCTTATGTAAATCCACCACTGACTGTAACCCTAAATTAGACTGTGTCAACGAATGAAAACACTATATATACTTGGTGCACGGTAAATGTGCAATCTTTGGCCATCAGGTCAGTGCACTGGAACTGTATGGGTGCTATAATTTAATCTAAAATGTTGCACCCTCTAGTAAGGAGCACGATTAATTTTTAAGCAAGTTTATACTGTCAATAATTTTATATTATAACTTTTCTAATATTTAAACAACCATATTACCATACACAAATATGTAGATATAATTGTATAAGCCATTTAGAAGGCAGTGTTTGTTATTTCATTTATAATTATTCTCAGTTGTTTTAGATCAAACAGCTATTATAAAATACTACTTTTATGTGTGAAACATAACGTAGAACTCGGAATCCGTAAAAGTATAAATTCCAAGTTCTACCAACTCGGTAACAACGGTAAAAGTACGGTTTAGTTGGTTGCCTATCGTAACAAATTAATTAAAGTCAAACATTTTAAACTAATATAATTATTACTGTGATCCTTACTTCCTGTTCTTAAAATTGACATGATTGACAGTGACATTTAATTTTAATCAAAATCTGTTGATTATTATTATTATTAAAATGTCAACCGATGTCAACCCAATTTTCTTGAGCTCTTAAAATTGTCATAGCGCTAAGTATTTGAATCAGGTTCGGCAATAGCACCGTATGGTTAATTTAAGTCTATTGCCGATTCAAACACTATTTGTTGTATCATTCTTTTTTATGGTCGTATACGAACTGCGGTGCAAATTTTGCTCAACTATCAGATACTCAGGTATATGGATAATTTTCACCGAATTGCGGTAAAAATTGTGGTCAAGTGTCAGGTAGTCAGGTACAGTTGACCGAACTCGAGTAGATTTCCGTTCGGGGTAGGGAGCAGGGCGCCACTGCGCCAGTAGTACTTGTATAATCTATAATCAATTCTGTGCATAAAAACGAAAAACGATATATTGCAAAAAATGTACTTCGTAGACATATGTTTATAGAATCTAGAATTCTTAAATTCAAAAATAATGAAGTTTCAAGGTATAATTTTGTTAAATGTATCAGCTACAAATTCGTTAATATCATGTCACAATTGTAGATAATAAGATAATATTTACATAATTATATTTTAGCTTTGTTTACGGTGATTAATGAGCTACAATCGCTTTAATTTACTGACTAATAAACATTAACTAGTGATTATACAAATCTATGTAAGTATGTGATCTACAGGTCGTTTTTCAATAAATATTTAAAAACAACGAAAAGTAAAGAAAGTGAAGTTATTTGAAAATTGACATAAATAGCACAAATTTTTATTCACTTCTTGGAACCCCCACTTACCGCAGTTTCGTCAGGGATGATAAGGTATCAGATAGGTACAAAATTTTGTACCGCAATTCGGTCAGTGTCTATAAGATACCAGGTAGAGCTTATTTGAAAGCAGAAGTACACAGCAATAAAAGAGCGCAGATACCAGTATTTGAAACACTATTCAGTGCGCATGAGCACTACTTTCACAGAATCAGCGGCGTCGAGAACGAACTTCCTTTACTCTTTGGACCTGTTTTGTACGTTCTTATACTAACGCGAGCACGTACAAACCTCAATAACAACACTAATGGTCCGCTACTGACTCGTCCATACTCTTCGCTCATTTTCGCGCTTCGCGCATTCATCCCTCCCGCTCGATGTACTTCTGGTTTCAAATAAGCTCTAGTCAAAAAATTTCGAACCGAAATTCGGTCAAGGATTAAAAATCCACCGCAGTATGGACAGGTTGTTTTTTATTATCAGTTATTATATTATATCGCACCCATTAGGAAGAACTTAAGAACTAATACGGTAATATAAATCAAGCAGAGCTTCAGAGTATTTTTGGAAATAAAAATATACCTAATAATTAAAATGTGGTTGCAACAAAATGGAGGGCATTTTCAAGAGCAGGAACTAAAGATGAGAAGGAATTCAAATGAAAGACACATATTTAAGTTTATTAGTAATAAAAAACACGATCAACGACAGCCATCGATTTTTGAAAGTTTGTCTTTGATCGTTGCATTTTCAACTCGAAACTGTCAGATTCACGGTAATCTGATAAAAGAAAATTTTCTCAAAGACAATTCTTCAAAAATCCGTAACTATATCTTTGATCGTGTTTTTTTTTATTACTTTCTTGATATAAAACCAAAATCAACTTGTACACTGGTAGTAGCAGCAATATTTTAGTATATTTGTGCATAATTCGGCTAACAAAGCTTGATCTTTTAATGACGTACAGGTGTAATTTATAATAATAAACGTCACAGAGGTCAGATTAATTTGTTTAGGCTCATTGTACTCAAGCTGATGCTCTCGTGAAATAAATAATATTAACTATAGTCGCATTGTACTAATAAATTAATCCCCTTAGAATATAATGCTGCATGACATCTACATTCTTCACTTCATCTACTTAATTAACACTGTTTACATTATTCCAACAATGGCTATTAAGAACATAGCGCCTATTTTTAACGTGAACGTAATTAAATCGGATTAAGAGCGATATACTCATCAATGCGAACAGTCTTCATTGTTCGTCAGAGCTGCCTACCAGCGAAATCCTAAATATTTCCCCCGAATAAACGGATGCACGTAGGAGAGTCGTGTTTCTTTTAAAAACTCTAAAATATCTCGACACTACTAAATGTCTCGGTTTACATTTACTAAAATAAACAAGTAATTCGGGTAGCGAAGAGCTAGGAGATGTAAAACATACGAAATGGGTGCTGGCTACTTATCTTCGTGTTTGAGTGGTTTATAAACAGACTCGATCGAGTTTATGTGCGTTTGCATCAAGAGGAACGGTTTCAAATTTAATGTGGAAAAGTAATACTCCTACTTTATTTTATTGCGGAATACAGCTTGCGGTTGTCGCAAACAAAAATAAACGTTTTCTTCTTATAAATATTGTTTTCGTATTAGGTATCTCGGAAAAACCAATTGAATCAGGTGCTTCATACTCAGTAGAAAAGATTCTTAAATTAGATTCTAACCAGTTTTTTTTTAGTAAATTTAATCTAAAAAGTCCTATATTCGACACGCATACCTTAAAATTTTGCATTGTTACTTTTATGAGAGTTAAACAATGATCAGTTATGTGGGTTTTCAATCAGACAGGCGACCAACACCTGAACCATCTTTATATGTAATAATTATAGGAGTTAAATCCGTTAAATTATTTCACAGGTTTATTAACGTGTGAAAATGCAGCGAACGAAATTCATGGCGTTGCAGGCAACAAATAAAAATAAATGAATTCTAATAAAATTCCAAAATCATGGAATTA